GCAGTGCTACTAATTACCCGGAGATGTTACCCTCAGAGCTCTATCGCGGCTGATCCATTCGCCGTTTGCACGACGACTTTACAGTTTACCCTGTGACGATAAAATTACAAGATCCGTCGACGGTGCGTCACCTGCTCGCATGTAGTGCACTGGATTGCGGCTCTATTACGACTCGTTTATCTCAGTTCATTTTCAATTTATTCTACGCAGATATGCCCATTTTATAATATTCGACTATCTCAAAGGCCAATGAATCTCCAGGATTGGACGGTTTTCTCCAATTACTGTATGCCGCAAGCGAATCAGCTTCGAGAGTTGCGGTCGTTTCTTCCTGGTCGCGTCGTTAACTATAACCGGCAGGCGAACCTACGTGAAGAAACAGCTGACTTACCTCTGACTGTGATCCGTAGTCTGAATCTTCTTCAAGTGAAAGCGACTGATGCGTGGCTGATAGGCAAAGTAAAACTTAGCGCAAAACAAGCATGGCCTTTTACAGTACCTTCTTAAGATTTTGACTGCACAACTTTCTAGAGCACAGGTTTTCAAAATCTGATGTATGATAATACATTACTTTCTACTGTTGTCTCCAGTATTCTACTTCTTATTGTTTAGATCACCCAGAACGGTTCAACGATTTTTCATGAAGCATCCCACAAAGAACTTGGAGTCTGTAGTGCTGATCACGTGGGTTCAATGTTGCCCTCGAAGGATTGTTCACTGAACAGAGACAGACAAGAAACTACAGCTGACGAAGCAGGTGCGCAACAAATAGAAGTTTCCAGCTCTGAAGATGAAAACGTTTCCGAAGGAGAAGAAGAAGACTCACAGAAAGGCTGCTCTGACTTTGACGACAACGGTTCAAACGTTAGCAACGAAAATCGGTCGAGGAAGAAGATCGATTTCACAAAGCCTCGGCCAACGAGAGCTTTCGCATTGTCAAAGGCGGCAGCGGCGAAGAAGCTTCTCACGTCACAAGGAAACGCGCAGATATCCGGGGGTGGGTCGTTGGGAAACAGCCCTACCTTCGCCAGGAACACTTTACATACTCGCAGCATGCGAGTAGACAGCAGGAAAGGAGACTCGTTGGCCTACATTACCGACAGGAATAGTAAAGGTGCCAGTAAGACAGCGAACACTTCCTCAATGAGGTCAACGAGTGCCGGGAAGGCTGCATTGAAAGCTGATGGCAAAGGCACATTTGCGTCGTCGTCGAAGTTGCAGAAAACGATCAGACTCGCGAAGCCATCGCTGCCCATGACGAAAGCAGATCTCGGTTTGATCAAGAGTCCTACGACCAACAGACCTCGAACAACAGTGAACAGCAGTGATGCCGGATGTGCGGACCAATCACAGCGAGTAAGTGCTTGCTGTAAAGACGAGGAAGCAGGAGAAGCCGGCGATACGGTTGGACCTTTACCGTCGGACAGGATGAAAACTACGAAGGAGCTACGTGTCCGTAACGAGAATGATGACGATTCCATGGCGGCTGAAACCTCGATGAGGTCAGACGATAGGCAGCGATCGACACAGGGTAAATTCGATGACTCAACTGAGGACAGGAAGCGCCAGTCACGTCATCCCGTTCAACCGGATGCCGGTTCGTCTAGCGAATCCGAGGTTTCGTTGGAAGAAGGAAGTTACGACTTGCAAAATTCTTATGAAGCAAAAACGTGCGATAGCAAGGGTGAACTACAGGAAGTCTTCAATGGCGAGCTGGCGAACTCGCTCCGCATTTTGGAACATTTTCTGAGGAATCCAAACGAGGTTAATGGCCAAACTGCGGTACGTTCAGGGCTTCATGTATTTTCTCGAGTTGTAGAGTTTCTCTACGGTTAACGCGTTATATCCTTCTCAC